GAATTTCATACATGCATATAAGGTGTTTTGATCAAATCTATGCCCACTCCCTCCCCTCCAACACCTCCTATGTCTCCCCATCACTTTTTTCTGCTAAATTCATTCATCTTCATTTATTTATTTATTTATTTATTTATCTATTTATTTATTATTTATTTTTATGGGGTTTTAGGCTATTCTAACATTACCCCCTCTGAAGAGGTAACCCTAAAGTCTTTAAAGGATTAGACACAAGCTCCCAAATACTTTCGACATATTTGGCCTTTGGAACAGAGTGTGCTGCTAAGAGGCCCAAGGACATTTTGACTTTTAGCCAAGAAACTGGCTACCTTTCTTTGGGGTCTTCTTACCCTAACTACCTAGCTAATTCCTACCTCTTATTCTTATCACACCATCCTCTGAAGAGGTTACCCAAATTGCCAATAGGGAATTGGAAAGCAGACCACTCTGGCTTCTTCCATGCTGAACAGGGATGCAGGGTGAGGTATTTGGAGTACCCCTTCAGTGGGTCCATCTAAAAGACTCCCAAATTGCATAACTCTTATCTCAAGGAGGAAAAGAAAGTCTTTGAATCAGAAGAAGTAAAGGCAAAATTAATTAGCATTACAAGTTCTAGACAGGGAACTAGAAAAAAGTCAGAACAGGGAAATTTTCAAAAGTTCATATGATAGCCCATTGGAATTTCTTGACAAGGGCTTCAAAGAGCATCCCTCTATTGGGTTCCTCCTCATTTTTCTTTTGTCTTCCAAGGCTGGACTCTAGAGTGATGGATTCAGGATTTGCTTTCAGGCTTCTAGATAGGGGGAGAAAACAATATATCCATCACTTTAGAAAAATAGCGGGTTGTCTCCCTTACGTACAGGTGGGCACTACAGTATTGGAGACCAAGATTTGAAGTCTTACATCTGAGCAGCACTTTCTGGTTAGGAACAAAATCATCAATGAGAAATAACTGTCTAAACTTTATATAGACTTAAGCCTAATGTCGCCTGAGTTCTCTCAGGGTCTTTTGCACTACCAGACTTCACTCTTTGGTTATACTTTCCTTTTGGGTGTTTAAGACCACACAGTTGGCCCCAATAAATCAATTTATTTTTACACTAAAGGTCATTTGAGGATCTGTTCCTCAGGGTTCACGTGGGCTTGGGAGGAGGTCCTGGCTCCTTTCTTTTACCAGTTCCATCTATGTGAAGATAAGTCAAAGGTCCTGCTCGACCATGTCTGGCTTCAATTGGAAGCATGAATGAGATGTTTCCTCTGAGTTGACTCTCCTCTTTCTAGACTGGACACTGGTTCAAGTTCATCTCGTGGGGTCTCCATGTCCTCCCTAAACAAGAGGACAGGTGATTCACCACAGTTACAGGACATTTTGAGAGATGTTCCATAGTCTCCTGGAACTTAGTTGACTTTGAGGGCAAGGGGAAAAACTGTCCTTTAAGTCCCTCTGATCACGTTAGTATAGGTCTCAAATTATGGCTGTTAAACATCCAATAAGGTCAGTTCCACCAGTCTGTACTTTTAATTATCATGTGCTATGTAGATAAGGCTTGGGTAAAAAAACAAATATTCTTAGATAAAACTTGAGTAGATATCTATTTTGTTCCTTACACTAGTTGACTAAACTGTGACCAAAGAAAAGTAAGATTATGTATATATTATTTTTGTCTCATCCTTTATATATCATAACAAACCCAAACAGACCTTCATCACTTGCTTAGGCTATCTCATTTTCTCTATTTTGGAAAATATCTCCATTCCCATATCCTTTTAACATCTTTTATATTCTCATTTTCTTTTTAAAAAAATAATTATGAGACATAATAGCATTGACAAATAGCATTCCATCTGTTGTGAGACTTCTTTTCCTGGGGATGCTAAGCAATGCTTATTCCCTTTTAAGTTTCTAGTATCAAGCCAATGTTTCTTTAAAGTTTCACTGGGGAACCCATGAATTTACTGAGCTTTCTTATGGAGATAACTGAGGGGTTGCTGAGGTGTATGTATGACCTGAGGGTATGCACACTGGAAAGCCTTTACCCAGCATGGGTCATGCCTTTTCTTCCTAGCCTTCCCCAGATTGTTTTTTTTTAGCCCTCCCCAAATCCAAGAGGTCATGTGTGATTAGGGCCAAATTACATACAGTTGTCTGGGAAGAGTGTCTGGATAATCCAATGAGGGTCCAATGATCCTGCTTGGCTCTCCTTTAATGAATGAGCACAACCATCAAGAAACCCAATTATGACAATGTTTGGTGATCAGACTCAGCTGAAGTCGTGATGATGGTAGTTATTTCATGCAGAAGGAACTCCTGTATTGCATCAACTTATTAAAAGAACCTGGAATTTAAAGGGATTTGGTACTCTTTTGTGAATTCATTCAGAAGTTTATCCCTATCTTCTTTTAGCTCTTTTTTTGTTTGTGTGTTCTTTAAATTCATTGAATTCCTTGATCATGTTTGTGACTGTTCTTTTAAACTCAGTGTCCTGTGTTATCTCTAGGGGGTTCTCCTTGTAGAACTCTTCTACAGGATTGGTGGAGTTTGGTGGGACAGAGTGTTTTGGCTTTCCATTTTCCTATATTGCTTCAAGTATTCTTTGAAGGGCTGGTTTGTGGGCATGTATTCTTTCAGGCTAGTCTTGTCTTGGAAGATTTTTCTTTCCCCCTCAACTATAGTAGACATTTTTGCTGGATATAACTGGGTCATATGGTAGGTTCACTTTTAGTTTTTTAAGAGTTCTCCACTCTCCACTCTGTTTTCCATAGGGGTTGCACTAATTTGCAATCCTAACAGCAGTGAATGAGCGTTGTCCATAGAGGCTGCACAAGTTTGCAATCCCACCAGCAGTGAATGAGCATTCCCCTTTCTCCACATCCTGGCCAGCATTTGGTATCATTTGTTCCCTTGATCATAGCCAGTCTGATTGGGATAAGGTGATACCTTAGGATGGTTTTACTTTGCATTTCCCTAATTACTAACAATGTTGAACGCTTTTTGAGTGGCTTTTGCTGCTTTCAGTATTCTCTCTTTGTTCTGTACATTTAGTGTTTTAATATGATATGTCGTGGGGAGTTTCTTTCTGATCCTGTCTATTTGGTGTTCTATGTGCTTCCTCTATTTGTATGGGGATGTATTTCCTTAATGTCTGGAAATTCTCTTCTACAGTCCTCTTTAAGATCTGGTCAATACCATTAACCTGAAATTCTTTTTCCGCTATTTTTCCTGTGATCCGAGTTCTTTATATATTCTGGATGTTAAACCTCTGTCAGATGTGTCACTGGTGAAGATGTTTCCCATTCTGTAGGTTTTCTCTTCACTTTTTTGTTTCTTTTGATGTACAGAAGCTTTTTAGTTTAATGAGGTCCCATGTTTTGATTGCTGACCTTAATTCTTGAGCAACTGCTGTCAGATTTAGAAAACCCTTTCCTACACCTATATCTTGTGAATTACTGCAATGTTTCTTCTAATAGTTTCAGAGTTTCGAGCTTTACATTGAGGTCTTTGATCCATTTGGAATTGACTTTTGTGCAGGGTGAAAGATAGGAGTTTACTTGCTTTCTTCTACAGGTGGAGATCCAGTTTTGCGAGCACCATTTGCTGATTCGTGTGTTCTTTAAATTTGTTGAATTCCTTGATCATGTTTATGATTGTTCTTTTAAATTCAGCGTCCTGGTTTATCTCTAGGGGGTTCTCCTTGTAGAACTCTTCTACATGATTGGTGGAGTTTGGTGGGACAGAGTGTTTTGGCTTTCCATTTTCTTATTCTTTCGTTGTGATTTTGGCATGTGAATTTCTTTTGTTGTTTGTGATTCTGATATGAGAATTAAGTTGAAATATGCTTCTGTTTGTATAATGGGTTGGTTAGAGCCTTTATTTGTTATGTAAAGCTGGTTGGTATAGGGTTCAGGATCTCTCAGGTTTAATTTGGAGGGACCTGTTGGCTTCAGATCACAGAAGTTCAATTCAGCTCCAGTCACTTACACTGTGGCTTCCTTTGCCATGTGGAGGCAGGATCCTGAGGTGTTCTCAGGGTGTCTCCTGGGTTCTCAGCCCCTGTGCCAGAGGAAGGCTGGAGGGAGGCCAGAACTTGGCACTCTCTTGAGGTCTGCTGAGATCAGAGCTACTACACCAATGGTGGTTGAAACCCACCCTCTCCGACTGTCTGATAGGATCTCAGCCTTAACCTACCAAAGCCAGATCTGCCCTGGGGCCTTGAGAGGGGCCTCAGGTAGGGGGATGGGTATGGCGCAAATAGGGGAAGCCCACCACCATGTGTAGGCAGGATGGGGGGGCTCTCAGGCAGTCCCCTGCATTCTCAGGCCCTCTGCCAGAGCGAGGCCAGAAGGAGGCCAGAACTTGGCACTCTCTGGTGGTCTGCTGAAATCAGAGTCACTACATAGATGGAGGTATGAACCCACCCTCTCAGGCTGTCTGCTAGGAGCTCAGCCTTAGCCTACCAAAGCCAGATCTGCCCTGGGGCCTTGGGAGCAGCCTCACAAAATCCCAGGTAGGGGGATGGGCATAGTGCAATTAGGGGAAGCTTACCACCATGTGGAGGCAGGATCCAGGGGCTCTCAGGCAGTCCCCTGTGTTCTCAACCAACCTGTAGTTTCAAAACTAGATTAATGCCTGCCCAGGTCAGGGGATCATGGGCAGAGCTGCAGAATGCTCACATAGTTTCTTTTACAGGCACAAAAATATTTAAACTTAGATCTTGAAGATGGTGCTGCAAGTCTGTGAATTATAGCACAGTGCATGTCAATTAATGAATTGTAGGGTATGTGACATGTCTCTCTTCGTTATTAAAATTTGAAAGTGCATTCATATGATTTTTCTGTTCTGTTATATAACACACCTTGGCTTTCACATAATTTGATTTTTCTGTGCTAGGAATGGGACCCAAGGCCTTATGCGTGCTAGGCAAGTGCTTTCTTGTTGAGTTATGCTTGAAGTACAGTGTTGACATTCTGTTTTCCATTTCATTCATTCTATTGGTGAGGCTTTCCCTTGTTGTTTCAAGTTGACTTACTCAGTTTTGCACTTTCTTTCTTTCTTTCTTTCTTTCTTTCTTTCTTTCTTTCTTTCTTTCTTTCTTGATAAATGATTGGTTTCAGAACACAGAGTATCCCCATGCCCACACACATACTTTTTCTTCTTTCTGCAGTATCTTGTTATGCAGCCCAGGCCTCAGCCTTCTCCTAGTGTGGGGATTATCGGCATGCTACGATGCCTGGTTAAAATTGTTTTTATGCTGCAGGACACCAGGATGGCAAGTCCTAGGTTGAGGTGGACCTGAAATATTTTAAAATCCAGGCTACAATCTCTGCTGAAGGGAGGGACATTGAATACAGCAGCCTTCAGATGCCTGTCTTGCTGAACACTGCAAGACTAGCAGGAGAAAAGTGCCTGGGTCAAAAGTTTAAGCTCCTTGCTCTGAGGGAAAGCATCTTGGTCAACAGCCCTTAGCCTACTTCCTTGTTCTGAACAAATAATTATCAGCTCTCACTAGCTAAAAGAATAGGCCAAGTTAAAAGTTTACTCCTGACCTAAAAGCTAAAAGTTTACTATGCTTTTTGTCCTAAGAAAGAAAACACTGTGGCCAATAAATTACCAGATAGGCACTGGTAACCCTGAGTAAAAGTTCAAGCATCCTGGTTTACAAACAGACCCTAGCTGGCTCTACCTAAAAGCTATATGTCCTGTTTCTCCTCTAATTGTGCTCTTAATCTTTGTATGTAACTGCCAAATGCCACGTGACTGCCATTTCCTTGTACTGTCTAAAAACCTACTGAATTTTTCAATAAAGTTGACCTGCAGCAAAAGGTCTCAAGTCCCAGGGCTGGGCCCTGGGCTGCCAGTATCACCATCACAGAAGCAAGGTTCCCCCACAAGGCGAAGTGGGACCCCCACATTATGCCACTAATTTTTTCTAGTAAAATTGACACTTTAGGATTGTTTTCTGGCTTTATACATATTGTCTTGGGGCATTTTTCTGTAGGTTTAGGTGTGTGTATGTTCCGCTTTGCCCTGGGACATTCCTGCTGTCCTTGGATCTATATAAATATCAAATGTGTCATTAAGTGCCTTGATCTTCCCAGTGCTATGGCCTGGATCCAGATCTTCATATGTTCTGGTCAAGTGCTCTCCACTAAGCTGCACATCCAGCCCAGACAAATGTACCACTGATCACACAGAGGCAGTACATGTGGGATACCTTGTAGCTAGAAGGCTGGTTACTTAAACTACATTCTTCCCGATTAGAAAACACTTATTACAGAAAGAAGAGCTTAATAGGCACAAAATACTGACATCAAAACAGTGACTGGCAATTGCATACCAAAGGCAAAAAATAAATATAAAATTGATTTGTTATTATAAATATAAAAACAGAAAGCTTGAGTATTAATTATATAATAGTATAATCATCATATGCACTATTATTTAACTATTTATATACATGAAAAGTATGGTATTTGGTATGTAATTTTCATTTTTATAAATTTTTAAAATACTAGTGATATATCAGAATTTATTCTGAAGAGACTTCTATTTGAGAATCAATGAATTTTGTTTTTATTATGTGACTATAAGTTTTACTTTTCTTCTTAGATGTAGTCCCTTTTCAAAAGGTTTTTAAACCACTGGATCTTCAAAAACACTTATTAAAATTTTTATCCTTTATATAATTCAGTAACTTTACATTTTAACTTTTTTATAAGTAATAACTGAATTAGTAGTCAAACAGAAACAGTATACCAGGATTTCATCTTCAAACAAATTTAATTAGAAGATTTTGCAATATTAATGCAGCATTTGAATCAGTTCTGCATTTGCTCCCTAGAAAATTGTACATAAATAGCAGAGCTTTTCCCAAAGCCATAGAGAGTTTTCAAGATAAGTGCTCTTTGTTGATAAATATAATTAAAAAGATTAAAGGCATTAAATAGTGACTTTTGGGAGAAGAGCTAATGCTTGAACTTTCACTATTTTAGCAGTTTAGCTACAATTCCCCCAAGGTCATAATGAGAAGACTCTACCAAAGCTCATATAGACTCCGGGAGGGCGACTCAGCATACGAGCCTGCCACAGGCTGGATAGACTTAAGTTTGACATAACAAAGCCAAAGGTTCTCATTATATTTCTATTATAATTTAAAACCAGAATATAGCCCGGTTGTGACTACACCTGTAATCTTAGCACTTGGGAAGATACATAGAAAGCTCCTGGATAAAAACACCAAATGATAATAATAGTAATTGGATGACAATAATAAAGCATAAAACCAAAATGTGAATATCTATGCTACCAGTACATGCTAGATAACTAAAAGTAAACTTCAAGGCTTATGCCTTCGAGCATTCTCTTCACCATCTGGTTTGCTCCTCCACCTTTCCTTTATTCATGCATTCCCTCACGGCTTGTTTTCCCATTATTCCCACGTGCCTCCTCACACGTGTAAAGCTCCCACATTAAAACACCACAGCAGACATTTTCCTCTGGTATATTCCAGCACAAATAAAGTACATATAACCAGGGAGCTCAGAAAGGATCTAACATTAAACTTGTCTCCCTCAGAACTCTCTGACCTCAGGAGCCATCCAGAATGGCGTTCCTACGGACGTGTTCAGGCGGTGCCGAGTGCTGCTGAGCTGCGCAGACACACCTGGAGAGAAGAGATCACATGACATCTGTGTTACTTTAGCCACAGAAAGCGATTACAACTACTATAAATATTCTTACAAATTAACATCCAAAGCCTGCCCTCTCAAAGCTGCCACTGAATTTGAACTTCACTGTAAAGAACCTAAATTAGAATCTGTTTAGCAAAAATGCAGAGTGGTTTTGCTTCTGTTTTTCATATCCAAATTGTATCCATCTATAAGCCCTACTTGCAGCCTTCCTTCCGCCAAGGTGGCTTAGCTCTGCTTCCAATCACACTAAGCTCTGTCTCTTCAGAGGTCCTACAGTTTCAACTATTTACTTGGTATTACATGTTTTGTCATAAACTTGGTATTTGAATGGTGACCCCACTCCTTCCCATGAACAAATTCTGATGCATCCAAGAATGTTTTAGATGGTGGTAGACAGCAGGCTACTTGTGAATACATATGCAATTACTTTACATTTGTGAATTTTGTTCAAATCACCTGCTATCTGACTACATGTATCTATCTAAGCAACACCAGTAATAGAATCTGTTCCTTCTTAAAATTTTCAATTCATTCTTGGCTGATCAAAAAACAACAACCCCCCCCCCCATAAACACTGTGCAATGTTTAAATCTGGTTAAATATATCCATATCCTCAAACATTTAATGTTTCCTTATGGTGAAAGCATTCAAAATAGTTTCCCCTTGCTTTCTGAAATACGCAGTACTTCATCTTATTCTCTGAACTCCTATGTATAGTCAGAATCAGATTTTTCCCAAGAGAATGCAAACCGTCATGAGCGGGTGTAACTAAATATGTTGATCTTGACATATATCACTACCACCTGGTTAGAAATAGTCTCGCTAAGCCTCATAACAATTTGTAGTAAGGTTTACTCGCTTGATTTTTATACTCCTGGTCCTCATGCTGGGGACCTAGTCACCTCCCAGCCAGCAGTGCTCCTGGTGTCTGGCTGCTCTGGACCCAAGCCACAAGCTTTCACTTTCTGATTGCCTTGCTTTACCAAGTCCCCTCCCCAGGACTCATACCTAGTTTAGGCTCTTGTTGCTTATGAGATAAGCCAAGCAGGGGAAGGTACTGATTGAGACTTGATTCCTTTAAGACACCATCTGACTTTTACTATGAAACTGAGAGACTGTATTCGGTCAAATGGACGTTTCCTTGATGGCATACTTGACTAGAGGGTGATGATGACTGGGTTTTTGCTCTGCATCAGTTGCTTCCCTTCGTAAACTTCTCTAGCAAGGCATAGATCCTCTCCTAAATCATTTCCTTTAAAATGTGGCCTACAAAAACGTTTATTATATCAAGAAAAGAAACATCCTCACTATATCAATTTTCAAATTGATGGGTAATTACCTAATCAATTTCTGAAGGTTCTCTTTTAAATACCTCCTAACAGAATACCTGAAGAAAAGGAATCGGCCTTAACATCACTTTTTCCAAAATATATCATCTACCTCTGCCCATGCATTTTATACTTCAAAAAAAATTAAGCATAAATCTAAACATTCTCCTTTGTTTTGTGTATTTTTTAAAAATTTTATTCATTATGTTTATTTTATGTGTATGCGTGTATTGCCTGCATGTAGGTAAGCGCACCCATGTTGTGCAATGCCCGTGGACGTCAGAAGAGGCTGTCGGATCCCCTGGGACTGGAGTTACAGGCAGTTGTTAGCTGCCATGTGGGTGCTGGGATTTGAACCCAGGTCTTCTGCAAGAACAACCAGTGTTCTTAACTGCTGAGCCATCTCTCCAGCCCCCTGTTCCATGTAGTCTATGAACTAAAAGCAATGCGATTGAGATTGGATTTTATGGTAGCATAATAGTACAGTAATTTATATAAATAGGGTTTTAAAATAAAATTTAACTAAAAATGGTTAAAGATTTTCTAGAATTCATTTTATGGTTATTCTATTATGTATGAAAAATTAAATTACATTTTACATTTGGTGAATATTTTTGTATCAATTTGATAAAGATAGCTTAAGAGTTCAAATGTTATTTAAATCTAGTGTAAACAGGGAGAAAAAAAAAAAAACAAGCCACACATAAACAATTAAAAATCAAGTTTTGTTCCTAGCAGGAAAGTGACAAATTAAAGGATTCAACATTTTTTATGGATATGAAGATCATGACACTAAAGTTGACATTTTTTAGCAAGTGGTCACATTCTAGTGCTAGGATTTCTTGACAAAGATAGCTTGGAAAGGCCTTCCGTCTACAGTCCAGAGAAAAGGATCCTAAGAAAAGCATTTAGAGGGCTGGCATGTGACTCAAGACTATGTCATGTCATGCTATTCTTTTCCTTAAAAATGGGAATCATAGGCAGAGATACTCAGGGAGGCAGGTGTCAAAGCACAGTCAAGCACCAAGAAGACAGAATCAACCCAGAACAGTTTCCTCCTGAGGTCCAGGGTTGCCATGGCTCTCCTCTTGGGAGACCATATCACCAGCTTCTGTTGTTTTCAGCATCTTTGTTTAACATTGGTCAGAATTAGTTTCTGGTGCTTAGAACTAAGGAACCCTGAATACAAAGTCCCAGTGATTTTAGATCTTAAATAGCAATTTAACCAGGACAATAGAAAATCATGAGTTTTTAAAGGCCTAGAGGCTCTATTAAGAGTTCAAATGTTATTTAAATCTAGTGTAAACAGGGAGAAAAAAAAAAAAACAAGCCACACATAAACAATTAAAAATCAAGTTTTGTTCCTAGCAGGAAAGTGACAAATTAAAGGATTCAACATTTTTTATGGCTCATATTACATTTATAATTTATATTAATGTGGGATTAAGAATTTCCTAAGGCAAACATGTGGCCTCCAAGATTTTCGATAAAACAGTTCAAAGGATAAGAAAATTCTGCATAAACTCACTGCCTGTAGAAACAGAGGCAATTCTCTACATATTTACTAATAGAGTAAAATATAAAAAAACTATGTTGATAACAATGTTAAAGAATCACATTAAAACGATAACCTAGCAGAGGTTACCTAGAGTTCTTCCTGAACTCTACCTGCTTTGCAAACACACTAGTATTGATAGCCCCTTCAAAGACCACTGGCCAAGTGCTAAGGTAACAAATTACAACACCCTCATATATCGTTCGGTGTGCACTGCGGACTTGAGAACCTTTTATGTACCATTCCAGCAGGCATAAACTGGGTGGTAAAAAGAAAACCTTTCAGTCCTATAAAGAAGGAAAACATGAAGAGAGAGATAAATGAAAAATGTAACTAGGCAGAGTAAGGAGTTCTTGAGAATATTAGGTGATTATCACTTTAAAAACAGGACACGCACAACTCTGAGACAGAGGAAGGCTAAATTCTATAGTCTAGATGCTTCTGCAGTTCCTGTTAAACCACGGGATCATTTAACCCACAAAAACAAAGAGATTCAAACGTAAAGACAACTTAATGGTCACAAAGTCTAACTTTCAGATTACTGAAAGAAAGCTGAAAGGAAGCCCTTTTCTTAGGAATGAATGCATTCTTACCACAAATTCCTTTAAGAAAAGTAGCTAAGGAGATGAAAATTAGGAAAATTTGACATAAAAGGGCATAGGGATCCTAAGTAAGACTTCTGTAGCCCCAGGAATTTCAAAAGATTAGGAAAAAGTCATTTTGTCCAGAGAGTAATGGAGTAAGTCACTAAAGTGGATAGTTACATAATCACCTCAAGCAAGAAGTAGCTGAGGGTGGAAAATTCCAGGCAGCAAGTTAGGGTAGTGAGACGGTATGGAAAGGAACAAGAGGCTGAAAGAAGACCAGGGCTGAGCAGTGAGGATGGTAATCTACTCAAAGTTACAGCCACAGGGACATCCCAGGGCTTTATGCCAAGGATCCTTAAGACTTTTGCTTTGCTGGTGAGGAAACTAGGCGCCACAAGCCCATTGTCAGCCAGAAGCCAGAACCAGCCTTATCTAAAAGCTCCAAAACAGGCAGGCACCGCTGGTCAAGCTTCAAGGATCAAGCTGTAAACAAATCTTACGGGCGGAAGGACCACCCTTAGGGCCCGATACCAGTAATCCCATTTCCCCTTAGCCCCGACCCTTACCCCATATCTCTGTGTGTTTTCGATACCAGTAATCCCACTTCCCCT